ATATGTTTAATCAGCTTTTTGCAGGCTGTGGTTTTAAGCAGACAAACTGGAGACTTTAAGCACAAGGAAAGAATATACGAAAACGTGCGACTGCAACAGTACAAGCTTTCTCAAATACTCACCGAGAAATCTGGGGTGAATCATGTCTTTCCTTTTTCCCATTGAAACGACGAAACAAAAGCAGCTTACATAGCAGCAGAAACCTCACGGTAAACAAACATTAAAGCTTAAACACTGAGCGGCCTCATTCAGCCTCCTCTGCTAGCATCAAACAACTGCTAATATAGTCAAAAGGCTCGAAATAATGATAAAAAACGAATTACCAATAAACTTTGGAGAAGAAACGCTACACAAAACATTAACTAACTCACTTTAGATATTAACTAAGCGAGATTACGCTACATTTTCTCACTCCATGTTGAACAACACGGAAGTTCCGCTTCTTCGTCGTTTTCCTGCTGTTTCCGCTTTCCCGCGCTTCACTGCACCCTAGCGGGGACCAGAGGAATAAACATTCACCAGAGACTGCTGCACAACGTCTCGTTCAGGCTTTGCATCTGTGAAATGTCGAGCAGCCGATATTTTCTTTAACGTGAAATAATTTCTAACGCTTTGTGACACAGACTCGTACAACAGAAAATGCAGACATTTCTGCCCGGTAAGCAGGCAGGCGTTAATATTTTTCTTTGTAGTACATCTCGGGTAATGTAGTTCAAGAAGCGGTCACCGGCGCTAACCACCACAGAAAGTCGCCACGCATCTAGAAATACACTGACCAGAAGCCCCCGCGCCGATTCTGCCACACGCGCAAGGTCAGTTACACTGCAGAGTGTGGTAGAGCAAATGTCATAACTACAGTTAAAATAATTGTTTACACCTATGATATGTTTAGTCCTGTGTTCACTGTAGCCTCCCATAGTGTGTGTCCGTGTTAGCTCACCTTATAGCTGTTTCGGGTTTATATATCTATATATAGATATATAGATATAGATATGAATCTGCTTTTACGTTACATACCAAAAAAAGGTAACACATTTCTACCATAGCCGCTGGCTCAGTTAAGAGCTACAGTTACAGATTAACTTACAGAAACAGCGTAAATGCTTCACTGAAAGCCTGTGGAAGGAGGTGTAAGCTTAATGGGCAGATAACCCCGCTGTGTGAGGAGAGGCAGCTGATATTTTTCACCTTGTAATTTGACAGGAAACATGAATTACGCTCGGTTTCTGACAGCTGTCAGTGCAGCGAGAAAGCCTTCCCCCATCAGGATGCTGAGTGAGTACTTTTCATTGATTAATACACTTGTGTCCGGTTGTACAGCGAGACTAATGCACCCATTACAATAGCCAGTTTGACACGAAATGGTAAAAACGGGTGTTCCTAATCACCTTAAGGCCCTGTAGCTAATGTGGAATAGAGCCTATGATGTCACTGGTAGCACCCGTGTTTGGTGTTTACCTCTCTTTCGTGTGAGTTATGTCTGTGTGAGAATGCAAAAAAACAGCAAGTCTTCTGAGTTTTTTTCAGTTTTTCCTTGTCTGCTGTGGTTTTTATTTAACTACAACAAAAATGACCAATTAAACCGGTGATCTTTCTAACCGCAAGGTTCATATTTTCCATGCCATCTCTATTTGCTCCACCGGAAACAGATGAAATAAACAGAACACATTAAAACACGAGTTTTATTTAGTTTATATGGTTAAAAAAAAACGTCAGAGGCATATAAATGATGACACTGGACGCAGCGTGTTCGGGTGATGTTTTCCAACTTTACTCGTAACCCCGGAAGCTCCCCCCACACACAGCCTTGTGGGAACAGTAGTCTACCGCTACACCTCCTCCTTTTAGCTAAAGACATACTTCATAACGTCTCAAACAGCTCACTAGAACAGAAATGGGGAACATCATGAAACGTGGAAATTATACACATCCCTCATTTGTTCACTTACATTTAAACAAAACACATTATTGTAAACATCTCTGACAGCTTAACCCAGCTTTGAATAGGGCATGAATGGATAACTTCAGAGAATTACACATCCAGTCTTTCAGGAGGTCTCACCACTCGACCAGATCTGGTAATAGTCCCTGTTGGTCTGAGGTGGCTCCTATTTCTCCTCAGAAAACCCCTGTCTGTCTCTACCACATAGGATCTGGGAGCACTGGCAGGTCCAACTACTGCTCCGGTAGTTCCTTCAGTGGTAATCCACACTTTCTGTCCTGACGATAGTTCCGGAAGCGGTCTGACTCTATGTCTGCGGTTGTAGTGTTTTGCCTGCTCACGCCTCCCCTCCTCATCTTTTTTGCGAAAAGCCTGTAGGTCAGGCCACTTTGGCACCAGCTTTGCCACAGCTTGTGGCAGCGTGGTCCGCAGGTGTCTCCCCATAAGCAACTGCGCCGGCGAGAGCCCATGTTCCAGTGGGGTGGCCCTGTACGCTAGCAGTGCTCTGGTGTAGTCACAGTCCTTTTTCCACAAGTCTTTAATGGTACGAACAGCGCGTTCTGCCTCCCCGTTGGCTTGGGGGTACCTAGGGCTGCTCGTTTCATGTGTGAACTGGTACTCTTTGGCAAAGTGCTTGAACTGTTCTGATGAAAATTGCGGCCCGTTATCCGATACCACAGTCTCGGCAACACCATGTCTTGCAAAGGCTTCTTTTACAGCATTAATAGTGACCTCTGCAGTTGTGTGTCTCAGTTCAGCTATCTCAATGTACCTTGAGAAAAAATCAATAATCAGCAGGAAGTGTTTCTTTGACCACTCGAACAGATCCATGCCGACTTTTTGCCATGGGCGGTCGGGAACAGGAGTTGCCAGCATTGGTTCACGGCACTGTAACCTATGTTTTTGACATGTTTCGCACCTGTCTACCATTTGACGTATTTGGGTTGAGATTCCCGGCCAGCCTTTTATCTGTTGCTGGGAGATGGGAAACTACACCGTCCACGAAAACCTCCACCTCTTTTTCCAGCTGAAGATCCCCAGCAGAAGGAGGCCCTGCCAGCGGTGCTCGTGAGAGAGCATCAGCAGTGACGAGGTTCTTCCCTGGAACATGGACAATGGTGAAAGTAAAGCGCAGCAGCCTGAGGCGGAATCTCAGGATGCGTGGAGGCAGGTCGTCCAGGCCTCTTGTGCTCAGAAGAGGGACCAGGGGTTTGTGATCTGTGATTAGAGTGAACTGTAGGCCCATGAGGTAAGATGACAGTCGTTCACACGCCCACGTTACAGCGAGCGCCTCCTTTTCTATCTGCGCGTAGCGTTTCTCTGTGTCTGTGAGACCTCTTGAGATATATGTGACCGGTCGCCAGGAGTTGTCAGACTGTTTCTGAGTGAGAACAGCCCCGATACCGTATGGCGATGCATCTGCAGCGACTCGTGTATCTGCTGAGTTGGAGTACTGAGCGAGCACTTCTGGAGAGCTTAATATCCCTTTTAGTCTCCTAAACGCTGTTTCCTGTGGCTCCGCCCATATCCACTCGTTTCTGTCTTTTAGCAGTTCCTTTAATGGTGTGGTGATTGTGGCTAGTTGTGGCATAAACTTGGCAAGATAGTTGGCCATGCCCATGAGACGGCGCACATCTTCCACACTCTGAGGCTGCGGCAGCTGCTGGATTGCTGTTATCTTGTTGGGATCAGCCTCAATGCCTTTTGCTGACACTTTGTGTCCCACAAAGATTATTTGACTTTTAGCAAACTCACACTTCTCATTCAGAGTGAGACCCTCCTTCTGAAACATTTGGAGCACACAGTGCAACCTCTGGTCGTGCTCCTGCCTGTCTCTGCCATATACAAGCACATCATCGGCGTGACAAATCACCCCTTCAAAATCTTCCAGCATCTGTGACATTCGCCTTTGGAAATGTTCCGGCGCCGATGCAATGCCAAAAGGAAGGCGGTTGAACTGAAACCTTCCAAAAGGCGTGATGAAGGTAGTGAGTGGCCTTGACTCTGGCGTGAGCGGAATTTGCCAGAATCCAGACCAGGCGTCGAGCTTTGTGAACACTTTAGCATCTTTCTTCCATTCTGTGCAGCTCATTTCTCACTGCATCTCTGAGGGGAAGAGGAACACGTCGTGGGGCAGATAAGGCTATTGGTACAGCTCCTTGCTCTATCTCAATGTGATAAGGCTCCCTCAGCACGCCTAAACCTTTAAAAACGTCTGGGTATGCTGCCCTGAAATTTGTCACCAATTCCGTTACTGTGCTTACTCTGTACACAAGACCCAGAGCCTCACACGCTGGCCTGCTTAGCATTGGCTGTACTAGACCTGACACAAGGTAGACGTCTTGAGAAACACTGCGCCCTTTCACTGCTAGCTGTGCCTCGAAGCAGCCTTTAACATTGAGTGGGTTACTGCCCGGCCCTAGTAACTTCTTTCTGGGTCTCTGCAGCTTACCATCCCTGTCTGGACTGTACAAACCCTCTGGAATAGATGTAACATCCGCCCCTGTGTCAAGTTTAAAATATACATTTTCCCCATTTAACTTGACCTTTTGCACCCAGGGCTATGACCTCCCAGTCTCTACTTCACCCAAGAACACACAATCCTCGCTGTCTGTATCTTTCGGATTTTCTGTCACTTTGCATAGCGCTGTAGCTTCACTACTGCGACAGACCGCAGCAAAGTGCCCTTTTTTCTGACATTTTCGACACTGTACCTCTTTGGCTGGACATTCTTTCCATGAGTGTTTGTTCTTGCGACCACAGCGGCCACATTCCTTTCCGCTTTGCTTG